CATCAAACATATTCTTCAGTAACTCGATGAGTGTCTCTTGCAATGGGTTGCTCCTATCATTGTTGTAAGCTTGCATTTTGTTGCTCACCTCGTTCCCAGTATCATGAATGTATAACTGGGCAAATTTTGGGGAATTGCCAGTTTCTGGAAGCAATGAGCCTATATGATGATATACTTGACCACAAATGGAGAAAACATAAACAACTTGTCCTTTGTTGATGGTGTGGTCAACCTTTCCGCCCATCGAAGTAAATAAGAAAATAGCATTGTATGCCCTGATGAAATCTCGAAAATTTTTGGCCATTGCATCATTAGATTCCAACAGCCATTTTTGGAGATCAGGTGGTTCTCTAAGTGGTGGCAATCTAACCTCTCCTTCTTTGCAGCATAAGAAGAATTTAGGCACCTGATGATGTCTAGTTGCCTTTGTACTTTCTTCTCTCCACATGAGAGCACCGCAGAATTGACAAATGCAATTAGGTGGATCTAAATTAAAGGGTTGGACAGTTGGGGGTCCTCTAATTTGAATGAGTTAGGAATAACACAATTATAAGCTATGTTTGCAAGCATACTATTGAAAAAAAGAATACATATTCTATTAGAAGAAGCGAACATACCTTGTCGCTTTTGGCGGGTTTTTAGTAGTTTGATTTTCCTTTCTAATCGGTGTATTTTTGCTGCCAAAGTTCTTGTGTACCATTCATAATCTGCAAGATACAGATAGTTCGTTGGATGAGTACCAGAGTACATGTAAAACATCAAAGGTGGAAGCAAATTAAGTTCAGAACCGGAACTTCAACTTACTGGCTTTTATCGTGAAATTACACCATGAGTTTTTCTTGATGTCTAAATGTAGCCGCCGCTGCACTCTCATTGACTTTGCTAGAGATGATTTCAATTTCTTGAGTAAGTCGTTATAAGCTTCAACTCCTATTAGGGGAAAAGGTGAGCAAAAAAGCAGGTCATCATTATAAGCTTCAACTCCTGCTATAGTGCACGGAGCAGCCGGAAAAGCAGCACCGCAAGGACCATGAAGCATATACTTTTTGACAGCATGAAAGCATTGAGGGTTAGCATCTTCGTCAGGGATTTCAGCACAAATGATGGAATCAATTTTTCCTGGGCCGACAAACTTGTCTTCAGGGATTAAAAAAATGAGTATATGTGCATGAGGCAATCCTCGTTTTTGGAATTCAATGGTGTATATTTCTGCAGGAACCATCTAAGTCACCACCTTTTCACTGAAATATGCATTTTGACTTTACTCAATCCACCTTCGTTCCTAATTCCTTCACCATACCTATCAAGATTGGGTACACAATCTCAAATCTCCAAAATGTTCTAAACAATAAATCTTCCTTTTATAATAAAAATACATCAATTACTTTATGTTAGCCATCAAATAATTCATATAGGTTGTTTTTTAGATTGTACTAAATTGCATGATGCAAACATAAAACTTGATTCTTTGTAGTTCTAATGATCATGAACAATAAACTATAAGAAAGAACATTACAGTTGTCGCCACTGCTATTTTAGTTTGATATTTGGTTATTGAATTAATATTGATGAAGTATCTCTATAGCTTCGTACATAAATATTAAAAGATTAAAGCTAATACACGATTATAGATGTATAGATTAGTAGTATAGTATTACAACTACATCTTAAGTACATGGTCTTGATATGCAATTCTCTTTTCTTTTGATTGATCTAAACTATGTTTATTTTGTAAGTGCTTATTTACCAAGTATGTAAAAAAATTACTCTTGGACGTCATTCAAATACATTTTAGTGTTGTATTGATGTTATGTGAAAAAAATAAAGCACATCCTAAAAAAGAACTGTGCATAACAATGGTATTTTTTTACTTTAGTTATAAAAGTTCAAGATGGATGGTTATTTGAATGATGGGCATGAGTTACACATATCAATCTGTGGGCGAACCATCAATTGAGCAATGTACTATCACCAAAATGTTCAACTACAAAGGTCATTGAGTTACACATTAATCAAATGGAGAAATGAGTAGAAATGGCTATGATTCCATCATTACATATGATAATTTGAATCATCTGCATGAATTTTCATCGCGACACTAAAAGAAATGTTAGACGGTCTCAATATTTGGCCCAAGCATATAGATCCATAAAAGGCGAAATAAAAAAAAATGTACAACTTATGAAGTTTAAAATTGTTGACAATAGAGCATATATGATAGTGAATATGATCTTCAAAATTGATGATGAAATATTAACTCTTATTTCTGTACATGATAATGACTCCTAGCCACACACAAACTAAATGTGGCAGTCCTCTTCGAATAATAAATAATCATAAAAAATATATACAAACATTTCATTTTAAACAATATAATAGCCAAACCTTTTCGAAAACAATCTAATATCCAAATCGTCAACTTTCCGTCCGTTTGACCGTTGGTTGACACTTAAAAAGGCTTTGTTTAGGGAAAATTGTCACAATACAACTTGATTTTCTTGTTTTGGCATTGCATATGACTGAATATTTAGATATTTTATACCATTATGGTGGAGTCATGGACTTCTCGGGTTTGGAACCACGATATGTTGGTGGTTTTTCAGAGAAGATATCGATGGATATTGATGAAGCGTCGTATTTCGAGTTTTTTTGAAGTGTCAACTAACGGTCAAACGAACGGAAAGTTGACGATTTGGATATTACTTTGTTTTCGAAAAGGTTTGGCTATTATATTATTTAAAATGAAAGATTTGGATATTAAATTGTATTTACCCTAATTAAACACAATTTATATTTTGTAGAGAGCTACATATCTCCTGCAGAAAAGAATTGTGCTTTATAACCTAATAACAACATAGACAAATAATGAAAAGAGCAGTCTTCAATACAACTCAACTCATTTTATCATTCAGATTCCTCATTTGTGAACTGAATATATGCATCAATCAAAATAGTAGTTTGTAAGAAAACAAGCATGTCAAAATCAATCTTTAGTCAGGGATTCAATGCTGAAAAATTCACCTTAATGAAACAAACAAATATCACCGCAAACATGTGGAAATTAAAAAAAACATCGAAATAGACAACCGAGAAACCATCATTATCATTTTCTTTCTTCTTCGCGACCTTTATAAAACCCCAATTATGTTCCCTTCTACTTATAACCGATTTGCTACCTACTAATTACTAACCAGATTATCATTGTATAGCTAGATAGTAGTAGCATGTCAATCATGAACATAAAATATAATAAACAATCATCACAACTCTACTTTCCATTTGGACATTCAAGAAATCGGGTTGCAATAGGCATTCAAGAAAAACGATCAATTATTCAACCAAAGGAGGTATGCCCTAAGTCCAACCAATTAACCCTTTTAATTATATTTTATATACATAAAAGTATATGGCGACCCTTCTCCGTAAAAACTAAGAAAAAATATATTCACTCATCGGGAGTGGAAAAATTTACCATCCAGCAGTCGTAATTTGGAAGAAATTAAGAAAAGAATGGGAAGAAGAGTATAACTCGGCCAGTCAACCGCAAACAATAACATATCGCTGAGAAAGTGAGGCCAGTTGCCAGCTTTAGATCAAGGAGGAAGAGGGAGCAGTCGACAACCCTCGGCTTGGTTCACCTCATCTTCACAATGATCAGATTAACTTTTTTCGTCAACAGGCAAAAATATGTTACAATTGCTCAAAATTTGTTATCTAATCGTTGTCTCGTGTAACTCCTGCCTCCTATTCTCATACAAATAAAAAAATTTGTATGCATTATCATTTCCTTCTCTATAAATTATGAGAATACAAATATTAGAAATCTCAAAAAATTTAGCAACTAATAAGAGGGCTTTGTTTATTTTTATGGTGGTTAACATACTTTCTTGATTTCTTATTTTCAATGTTGGATTTTATTTCTAGAGAGACAATCAAAATGGGAAAGGGATAGAAACAAATTAAAAGTTTGCATTAATAATTAATATGTTTTCATTTAATCGGAATGAATATGAAGTTTTTTAAAAAATAACAATTATTGCTCTGACAAGTTTATATTCAAACATTTTGCTATATAATTTATACTTGTTTTATTTGATAGTTATATACATAAGAAAGAAGTGAGTGTTTGATAGCATAAAACATATAGTCATATGGTTAATTTCTCAAAGTCGATTGATTGTCAAACGCTTATTTTCTCTTAGACCATCGTTTATATTTTGTTTAATTGAAAAATATTAATATTTATGTTTGTGCTCTTTTTTTTTTTTCTTTATCAAAACGTAACTTATTATTAAGTTTTAATAAAAATGAGTAGAAAATTTACTTAATCAGATTTATTCAGCTTGGGTTAAACAGATTTATAGTTTGTTTAATTGGCAAAAAATTATTACTTAGGTGTATGTTTTTGTTTAAATCTTTCCTAAAAAATTAACTTAATTTAGTTTTATTAAAAATGAGTAGAATTATTAAACAAAGAGAGAGACAACTTCATAAATAGATCAATAAATATTTTTTTGTTTATAAAAAAAATTGTCCACCTTGGCAACTTGTGCATTCACCAAGTGCTTATGTGGCAAGAAGTTTTTTTTTAATAGCCATAATATTTAGTATAGATAGATAGATAGATGATAGTGTCGTAAGCTATTCATCGTCAAATCGAGTAATAAAGTAGAGTGGTCTGATCTTATATGAAAATTTTGTAGCTCATTAAAGATATATTGGAAATTTATGGTCAAAAGTGATGATACTAGATGTGGTTTTGTGTGTCGGTTTGGAAAAAAAAACATGAAAAAGGGTTTAGACAATATATTACCAATAAAATTATACATATCTCGAATATAATATGAAAATAACTTCTTTGCAAATTATTCAGATGAAACATTTAATGATCGCGATCATGATCGTTTCGAGTGTAAAAGATAGTCGACCAAACATCTTTTGAAATTATCATCTTGTTCTTATTTATTATCTCTTGTGATTTAGTCTAGCAACCAGCAAAGTCATTTCTTGTCATTGCTGAGCTTCAGCTTCTGGATCCAGTAACTAATGGTTTTCTCCTTCCAAGTTCCATCTTCAAGGTAGGTCTCGTCAAATGTAACTTCTCCATTTCTCCCCACAGACAGAGCAATGGTGCTCCTTGTGCCACACCGTCCCTGAAACCCACATGGAATTAGTTGTGGGGAATTTCAGAGTCTGCCAACTTAAGACTCCATAACAACTTTACCAGCGGGGTGTCAACTTCCACAAAAATGGAGCTTAAACCCAACTCCCATTCCACATCACAAATGCCAGGCAGCCTGTTCTCGTCAGCTTTCACTCTGTCCCTCATTAGCTTCTTCGCCATCTCTTTCAGATCAACTTCCCCTTCTCCATAATTCAATAGCTGTTCTTTGAAGCCCATCCCCAGCTTCAGCGCCTGTAATTGGCATTGGTTCTGCAGTCAATCCCATGGACTTGAATGGAGAAGGGGAGACAGAAGGAAGAACAAAACCTTGGGCCAGGGCGAGTCGAGCTTCTCATTGGAGAGGACATGGAGGCCGGGGGAAACGTCCCGGACCACCACAGCATCGCCTTCTGGTCTATTGGAGATATACATCATGGTGTTCGACGAAATGTCTGAGAGAATCAGGTTGAACCCGTTGTAGAGGTGAGCCTCCTTCGCCACTCCCTCTGCAAACTCCCTTGGACTCTTGCAGCTCTAACAAGGCAAATACGATTTAGGTACTCAGTGAAGGGTATTACAAGTTGTTGAGAGAGGTTCAGTTGTGAATCATTAATACGCTCCTTTTAAGTTTTAACGAAAACCACCATATATATTGGGTTCATATATGGTATTAGAGCCTTCTGTAATCGAGAGGTCGTCTATTCCAATTTTTGTGACCCTCATTGGTAAGCACATGATGCCTGATACCTGTCCAAACTTCAAGCTCATATAAATGGTTTTCGTTTGAGGAGACGTGTTAATATGTGATATAAGATCCACTTATGAATCTCTCCAAACAACTCGACAGCGAATTTTTCCTGACATATACGCATCAACATTTGACTGGACACACCATGATCGATCAAATTTTACCTGCAGGAAAAGAACAGGGAGCTCCCCACGGGTTTTGGCGTCAGGGTCAGGATGAAGCTCTAGAACATTGGTGAGAAATGCCACTTTCCCTCCTCTTGAACAGGCCAGCCATGTCCCTCCTGCCATATCATCCCTCCCGCCTAGAACATCCATTTCCTCGCTTCCTCCCCACCACTCCACTGGTCTTGTTGGCCTGCAATAACCCATGATCAACTAGTTAAAGGTATTCAGCTCTGTTACTGACAAACTCATAAGAGCAGAGCAGAGCAGGGTCAGTATGCTTCAGTCTGATAAATCAATCATTTGCCTGCTGTGGTATTCATCTCTGTTGTGCAAGAGCAGCAAAGGGTAGAGCGGGTGACCTTGCCACAGGAAAGCAGCTATGCACATTGCTTGTAATGGAGAGGCGATTTACAGACAACTACAGAGAGAGAGAGCTTGAATGCTTAAAGTAAAGTTTCTAACTTGATTCGCAGACAACTAGAAGAGAAGAGAATGCGGCGTTTTATCCTTCTTAGAATTCGTAAGTGTTTTTTGGATGCATAGTTTGGGAGCTCTTTCCAAAGTGAGGCAACTTTGGGATGAGTACTAAGACCGGCAAAATTGCCAAATGCGGAGCCAACCGTTTCTAGAGAATCTCTTTGCTTTTTGAGTCGTTTTAATAAACAGTCACCAAAATTTAAGATCCCTGATAAATTGACGGCGAGTTTTTGGTTTTTAATTCACACTTCACATTGTTCAAAGGGAACGGATAAAATGTTAGTACCATGTAATATAAACCATCAAAGGTATTTTGGTAATTGCAGTTACGTATCAGTCAAAATACATGTCAAACCTCTCCTCCCTCATTTTCTTTCAAACCGAAAACTTGTGGTCATCTTTGAGTTTTTTAGTTTGGGTTAGAAAATATGTTTTATTTGTGAATTTTGTGTTGTGGTACGTCTTTATGTGTTTTTTGGTATATTTCATGAAATTTGTGATCAGATTTATGAGGTTTATGGTCTATTTTATGAGTTTGTGGTGAGATTTTTTGTCTACATTTTGAGTTAATGATGTGACTTTCATGTTTCAAGCCTGGTCTGATTTTGTATGTTTTGCATCATGATACTTGTAGTGAGCTTCATGAGTTTTCTGGTATGCTTCAGAAAACTATGATCTACTTGTGAAAATAGAACAACCAACTGCAATCTCCAACACCGACCTTGATGTTGCTCTGTCACCTCTGGGATATCCAATTGTAGCACTACAACAATTCCTTCCAAGATTGAAATATGGAAATAAAATAATATCTTTGTGTGATTCAACAACAGGCACACAACCGCTTCTCGTTGATCGTTGGTGCGATCTCCACTACAGTTGTCGCTCTACTACTTCTTAGCCGACGCTTGGGTCTCCAACACCATCTCGGGTTAGCAATCTTAAAATATATTAAAGAGGTTTAAGATTTAACCCCTCTCCACGTCAGCTTTGAAGTGCATACCGTGATTTTCGGGTTGATCTATTTATTTTGTTTTTTAATATTTTTAATGGGCTATATCGGCGGCAGTTACCGCTTTTTTTTCATTGCAGTTACATTTATCCCCGTAAAATCCCCATCCAATTTTTTCGCATGTGTTTTGTTTTGTTTTTGTTTTTTTTTTTAGTTTCCGTTTTTTATGTCATTTTTCTTCTTCTGAAGTTGGAACATATTTGTTCATAATAACTGTTTTCCCCCACAATTTAGAATGAGAAAACTTATATTTTTCCATGAGAGATTAGGCAGATTCAAAGTAAAATACGTATAATAATTTCATAAGCATAATGTTATAAGTTTGATAAGAATTTCAAATTTTAATGACATCTCTAAAATTATATATTTAAAATTTAAGTGTTATTATGTTTATATGCTTTGGGAATTCATAGTGACACTATATAAGATAACTAATTTAACTATCTTAATTTAATGGTGTTGTCAAAAATTATTATTTATTATAAATTATATATGTCTATGAGTGAATGAACCAATGTTAAATATTTCTTGATTAGGATTTGAGTGTTTGGACTTACTACGTTGTATTGGTTATATTCTACACCAAAAAATTATTAGCTAAGTACAAAATGGTTGATTCATAGGTTGAATTTTCATAAACCTACATTAAAATCTCACAAAATAGCTACAAGAACATGAAAGATGTATAATATAAAAATAATTTCATCATAAGAGTTGAAAAGGATAAATAATCAAATGAAACCTACCCGGCCAATGGCCGGGTTCAAAGCTAGTATGGACATAGAGGGATTGTAAACAGGAGGAAAATAGACGTTATGTCGGATTTTAACTTTTCAAATTGACTAGCGCATCCCTACCTCTAAAGTCAACATTAAATTGCGGTCAATCCATTAAACATAAATTCAGCCAATAGTGGTTTACTATTGAATGGAGTTAGTATTAGAACTATGATAACAAATTAGGTATTATCACCCTAATCCGGCCTTCTTTCGATTTTTTAGTGAAAAATGGTTCCAATTAATTGTAATTGACCATATTCATATGTAATAAGGGTTAATTGTAATTGACCATATGTAATTAGGGTTAAGTACAATATAAGTAACGTGCTAGGGTTGTCTGTCCTCCACGGTATATATGTTGATGTGTAGAGCTAAAGAAGGTAGCAAGGATGCCAATAGGATGGTTCGGGGATGGACTGTGCATACATGCTATCTTATTTTAATTTATTCGGATTTTTATTCATATCTAAACTCGTACAAGATTCTTGTAGTAAATCTAAACCATGTTCATGTTACGAATAAGGCTTGCCGTAGTGGTAATACCACTAGTCCATAACCTAGAGGTACCAAGTTCAAATCTCTTAAGTAGTACCTTAATGACAACAAAATTAAACATATATATCACCCTTATAATAAAATAAATAAACCATGGTAAGACCATCGGATTTTAGTTATTCGTGAATATCGACAGATAATAGTTTTTCTTTATCATTTCATCTAATGCGTTACTATTTGTGAGTAGATTCGCATTATACACGTGAAAATATTCCAATAGTAGGCCATCATTCTTAAGAGAAATGATAAAAAGAGTGAGAGTTCATTGAGACGTTATATATTACAAATGTCGAATAATTTGAGAGATAAAATGATGTTATATAGTAAAATATAGATTTGCATTTATAGTCGGGCAAATCCGGGTTGGACAGTAAAAAAAACTATACTCGCCCCTTACCCATCATATTGAGGTTCGAATTCTAACTATACAATAAAATAATTGATTTAGTTTGGATTTTACCCTATTGAACCGAATCAAGTACAGACACATAACCCTTTGACAAAAAAAATAAATAAAGTACAGACACATAACCGTAGTGATGGATATTTTTGTCCACACTAACTAGGCGTTAGCCTTGGGCGACAACCCAAACCAAGGGATCATATATACCTCAGGCCGGCCCGTTAACAGCTTTACATTCCTAACCTGCAGTGACTCTCCGGCAGAAACATAATATTCCCGGTTTACCGGCGTAATTAATTTATTATATAGTTTACGTTCTTTTTAATGAAATGCTTCCACCCTCAGAAACATAGGCCCTGTTCACTTTCATTTTCGTTTCCTGTTTTCTGTTTTCATGTTATAAATTTGGCAACCGAAATGAGAAAACTTGTTTACTTTTCATTCCGTTTTCTATTCGTTTCCAACTATGAAAACAGAAAGTGGCAACTTCCTGCTGTTTTCGGAAACGACAAAATGTTGTTTTCACCTGTTTTCAACATCTGTTTTCTCAAAAACAGGAAACAGAAATGAAAGTAAACAGGCCCATAGTTGTCCGCTGTTCGTCTGAAAATAATAAACAGAAGCCGGTCACAATAATATCCATGGCCATGGGACACTCAGAATAATTAATGCTCCCCTATATATGCAAGGCAGCTGGTTCTTAGGAATGACCAATGGTGGAAGTTGTGATTTCGATTAAATGATGTACTACTCTCTCTTTCGAAGTGATGCATTTCGAATAACGTATTACGTGTATACTGTCATAAATAAACCAGTTGGTCCCAATAACTCGAGTTGTTGGGAAAAGGTTATGCTGGATCTTATACAGGTCCGTGTATGGTACTTAACCACTTCCTTACATATACATCGTCATTTTAACATGTATAGTCCACTATTCCATCGGAGCCATTGCTCACAAACCCCAGAATTAAACCAGACCGGCGCTATGCCTCAACTGGAACTCCGACTCACTAACCGGACAACAAAATCCCATAACTTCATATTAACCAAGATAATTTGTTTTCAGATCATAGCAACGTATATCAGAAAACATTCTTAGTATATGTCCATCAACAAACCCAAATTGAATGCACACGTGACCATTACCTTCCTTCCTTTTCCCTGTTGCATGCTTAGTTAGCGTCGCCCCCTGTTCTCTTCGGTTTGCGTACGTCAGTCGTCACGTCTAATCTAATCCATTGCATTTAAGCAACCATGCCGTACAGAAAATTACAAAGACATCCCGACATGGTTTCTGCAGTTCCCTTCTCTTGGCAAAAACCACTCTACGGAATTAATCTGCATTCAATACAGAATCCACTTTCTCCTAAACTCTGCTTGCTTAATTAATATACCAGCACGTGCGTATGTATATCTATATATTTACATATCTCTCACTGACCAATCAAGAGAGAAACTCATCTGCATTTACGTACAGACTTGAATTTGCATGACTTCCTCCGCATCAATCTGGCAGAGCTACGTACGGATGACGGGAGGCGGTTGGGAGAAGATGGTTGCAGCAACGATGATAGGATCGGTCGCTGTTGGTCTAGTGATAATGTGCCATGTTACGACTGCAACAACGAGCGCTTATGTTCATGTTGATGGAAGCGATCTGCAGCATCGTTGCAACGGAGACAAGTACAACCCAGCTGGGACGAACGATGCGGTAGCCAACTGCATACAGTGGTTCAGGCGGGAGCTTAAGTCGGGTAACTATCTTAACGACCCGTCGTCCAGATACAAAGAGTTCATGTGCCCCGGTGCAGCGCCACAAGTCTACTATCGAGTCCAGTGTGTTGATGGGGTTTCAGATGACGAGAGCAGGCGGTTTCTCGTGTCTGCTGGTCAGCTCATGGACCAATATTGTGCCAACAGCGTCGGAGCCGATGTCAGAAACGACCGGTGTGAAGCCAGATACGAGCTTTATCATTTCTGATCATATTCAACCCATTGAGGTAGGTAGGGTTGTTATGAAAACACACCATCTTGCATGTAATGTAATATTTAAACTATATATGTGTGACAGAAACCGGACTGTCGTCTGACAATTTTGTTACAAGCTAGAAATTTTTGTAATCATCGTATTAATTACATGTTTCACAAGAGGAAGTGGGTTGAGTCCCGATGGATTTGATCGTTTGGTTAAGTGAAATTTTTATCAACAATTTTGGTAACGTGGAGTGCTGATTGGACAAAACTAACATATTTTTGAATGGAGAAAGTCGGAATGACCATTTTAATATACGTCCAAACATAAATTATCATATCGTTACAAATTAAAAAATTGTGACCGTTTTGTGTTAAGTGCAAAGATTTGTGATCGTTTACGCTAATTAACTATTTTTGTAAACGAAATTTTTGTTCTAGGTAGGAAAAATAGGATACGGAACCCCACCGCGCTAATTAATTCTCCACGTAAACATCCTATCTTTCCTCCACTCTTATCTTGATTAGTTACTCACGCGTCACACCACTAACCACACTCTTATCTTGGTTGTTGTGACTTCGTTTCCATCGCCTCCCGCTCTCCCCTCCGAATCCGATCGCCATTCTTTCTCCCCTTCGGTAGTACTTTCTGCTCTCTCAAAAGATGGCACCGCCTCCTGACAATCGCACAAACGATTCCACCACCAACGCCGTCGCCCCTCCTCCACCCGGCGCCGCCGACGACCAGCTGCAGTCAATTCTGCGCTCCGCCCGGCCCTTCCTCCGCGGCGAGCTCGAATCGGTGGACGAAAACCTGCCCCGACTCGTCGCCGTCCTCCGCTCCGTCGGCGCAGGGGAGTGCTGGCACAAGCACGGCAGCTTCCTCGACCACCTCCTCGACATCTACCGCATCCTCAAGCTCTGGGGAGCTCCGGAAGCCGTCTGCCTCTGCGGCCTCTTCCACTCCGCCTACTCCAACTCCTACGTCAACCTCGCCATCTTCGACCCTTCCACCGCCCGCGACGTCGTCAGGGCGCACGTCGGCGACGCCGCGGAGGACCTGATCCACCTCTTCTGCGTCGTCCCCCGGCAGTCCCTGATCCACGACGACCTCCTGTTCAGGTACCCCGACGACGCGGAGCTCCGCCGCCATCTCTCCGATTCCGAGGCTACCGTGAGGAAGGCGAAGGAGGAGAAGGGGGAACTCGACGCAGGGGAGGCGTGGAGGGTGAAATTGAACTCGATTTTGCCGAGGGAAGGGGTGAAGGTGAGGCACATCAAGACAGGGGAGGAGATTTTGGTGTCGAGGAGAGTTGTAGCGGTGTTTTTGCTGATGACGATGGCCGATTTCAGCGATCAGTTGTTTGGATTTCAGGATGCTCTGTTCGAGAACTCCGACGGGAGGCTGGAGTTCGCCGGCAACAATTTCGGAGCTCTGTGGCCGGGCGACGGGAAGCCGGGACTGTGGATCAATTCGATCTCGAGGATGGGCGCTGTTTACTCGCTGATTGCGAGGGAAGAGGAGATTGTTGAGAGGGAATTGGGAATTAGGGTTGATGCGGCGGAGATGGAGATGGAGCTGGAGCTGGTGGTGCCGCCGGTGTTAAAGGGATGTACAGAGATTGTGGACGCGACGGAGCAGATGGAGGCGAGGGAGCTGTACTGGGAGGCGGTCGCCGGGATAGGATCGAGATCGGAGTTGGATTTGGAGGCGGCGGAGGAGCTGCTGGTGAGGAGCGTGGAGAAGAATGCGGTGGTGGGGGAGCCGCGCGTGGTGCTAGCGCAGGTTTATCTGAGTAAAGGAAGGTTCGAGGAGGCGGAGAGGGAGGCGGCGGTTGGGTTGAGGCTGATTTTGGAGTGGGGGAGCGCGTGGGATAAACGGATGTCCTGGGAAGGTTGGGTATCTTGGGCCAGAGTTCTGCTCATGAAAGCCGAAGAGAAGTCCTGGCCCAATACTTCTTGGGGCATACTTAATTTGGGCCTCGTCAGGTAAAATATGAAACTAGTGTCGTCCAAAGTCCAGGGAGTAACGAAATGATCCCGTGCTGGCGGCTGTGGCTTGGTAAAGTGGTAACGTCCGGATGTGATAAATTAAGTATGCAATGATCCAAGAATGAAAATAATAATGATTATGACATTTGTACCATATAAATTGGCATTTGTTAGCTATGACCAATTTGTTGTGGCATGTTCACGGTTTGGGAAAGAACTTGGACAGTTTGTTAATCGTGTCGGCGGCGAAGGACATTGATCACGTGTGGATTGTCGATCGTTAATATTCTTGTGTGTTACTGTGAATAGTTTTTGTTGTCGTTGGTCGGGAGAATAGTGTAATTGCGATCGAACTTGATGGATATAAAGTGTCTCGATGCAAGTATTTGCTTAACAGGGACAATGTCATCGAATTGGATATGTACTAGTGACGGGATGAGCCTCTGGTTTGTGGTGCTAGACATGAACATGTCGGATTGTAGGATCAAACTCGGGACTATACTAGTTGCTAGCTTGGACAAGCTTTTGGTGCCTAAGCCTAAAAGGAATGTACACAAAACGTCTTCCGTTTCTTTTCACTCTCGTCAGAAACACATAGTTATGGTAGACATTGTGTTCACTTTTCAATAAGAAAACCGACCTATGGCTCAAGAAGTTACAATTCTATCTTTGCTCTACATCAAGCGAATAATCAAAAGGCAACCTAATACCAAGATCACCAGCTAACAATCTTCATAGTTAGCAAGTAGCAACCACCAAAAGTTCATCTAATGCGATGGGTTGGAAAGGAAAGAAGCCTTAAGTTCTATCCATCGTTATCTTCAATGCCTTGCACTAAGTCCTTCCCAATTCCGCGTCGTGACTCGTGAAGAATTCACACAATTATTATGTTTGTTCAAGTGAATCGTTTTGGAATAATGTTGAATTGAGTGTTTGAGATTGTGGATTTCATCGTCTGAAAAGAAAAACGACATGTTTAGATAGTATATTATCAAGTGACAGGGAAAATTTTATCAATTTACTCTCTCCGATACACCTAATTAAGAGTTGCCTAACCCAGTGGCATTCAACTTGGATTGCTTATATACTATAACTATAAGGGCAACCCAAATTCGTACCAGTTGCACTCACTTCGAGAAGGCTCCATCAACGCATCCTACTCGCTACGTCCAACATGAAAACTAAGAAACATGTTTTTTTCGCGACTGGGGCCAAATAATAAGCCATCATATAACTTCAAGACGTACGACCACTTTATTGCTCTATAAATTCGACCACAACTTCATCTTGATAATCTCGTTAAGCTTTTTTCCCCTCTAAAGATTTGGTTTAATTCTTCCTCCCTTGAGGATAGGGATGGCAATGGGTCGGGTTAGGGCGGGTTTTGTCAAACCCAAACCCAAACCCATGGGTTTATCCGCCAAAAAAATCCTGGGTAAAACCCGTTGGGTTTGAAAAACTCAAACCCAACCCAACCCAACCCGCTGGGTATCCGCGGGTTCATGGGTACCCGTGGGTTTTTGTGGTAAAAAATTTACAATAACAAGTTTCTTTCAAAATAAAAGTTTAACATCAATTTTCTCATACAAATTATTCATACAAAAAACACCAATATAGAGCATACAAGCAAACCGCAAATGATCAATACAAATTGTTCAAAATTAAAGATAAACATCTATAAACAATAATATTAATTGAAAACTTCTTCCTCGTCAACTAAGTTTCTTCACTCTCCACTTCATAATATTAACTTCATTCTAAACAATTAGAAAGAACAAATTATACATGCCTCCACAAACATAAAGAATATTAGTTGTTTAAGGAAATATTATTTAGAATACTAAATATACCGGGAAAGTAATTATATGTGTGTGGGCGGGTACCCATGGGGCGGGTTTACCTAAACCCAAACCCAACCCGGTGAATAGTGTAGCGGGTTTAAACCCGAACCCGGCCCAAAACCCGTCAACACGGGTTTTACCCGCGTTGACCGGGTGGGGTCGGGTGGGTACCCATGGGTTCGGGTTTTGTTGCAACTGACCACATATCTCTCCACTCTCCTCAGTAGACTTCAACTCATGACTGACTTTCTCTCTTAAAAAAACATCTTAAACATTTGAGTCGACCAAACAACGTTGCGATGGTAAATCACATTTCAATGAATGATTTGCGCATTCACGAGAGAGTTCTTAATTGAGATCGATCTCTGAAACTTTTATGTAAATATTTATTTTTTAAAATGATGAAACTACAATAGTCTAACACTTTATGAGTTCCATAAAATCTACTGTTCTATCCACATATGAAGGGTAGATGAATGTTTTTTTATAGTAGATAAGTATCAAGGGGTAATTACATTTGGTAACTATGATTATTTATAGTCACGCCATCATATCTTCCAATAAGCTATTATTGTTTTCTTAATGATATTTTCTGTGGTTAAAAATAATAGTCTTCTACCAACGGAAAATATAAATACAAAAGAATAGCAAATATTGGTTTCTCCTTGTCAACTTCACGAGTTTGCTTTGCCCAAAATTTGAAGAAGAATCAGCGTGTCATAGTTCTTCCTGTTTGGGTGCTGGGTTTAACCTAGAAAGTTGGAAAAGGAGGTGGGGCGGGAAAGATTCATCTATATCCTGCGGATTGATTGCGAGCAAGGAACCGGTTGAGCGAGCGGCCAAGAAGATGGATTTGGATCAGTGGATTTCGAAGGTGAAGGAAGGGCAGCATCTTCTGGAAGACGAGCTCCAACTTCTCTGCGAATATGTAATCCATGGCTTTACCATTTCTTATGCTTCCTCCTCTGGTTACCATCATTTCGCTATGCATCTTCTTCAATTATTGGCAGAGTAACTTTACCCTTGATTTGTCAGGTTGGGTAAGAACTAGGGTTTTTCCCCTTTTGGTGTTTTCTTCTTTCGATTCACATTGTCTCACAGCTTCCATTCCCCATCTCGAGGACTCTGCTCTAGAATGCACAGTCTATTTCGCTCCCAATTGGTCCTTGGAAAAGGAACCCTAAGCCTAATCTTGCATCGCGCTGTGTTTCCATTACTGAAACCCATTTCTATTTCGCTTTTTTTTTATTATTCCCTTTTTCTTCCTAATGGTCTGATTCGCTCCAGTACTGCTTCGGAATGTCGATTTGTCTTTATTACGAACTTGCTTGTTGAGTCATATCCAGTTCACCCGTCTAACCAAGCCTGGAGCTACTATCCTTTGCTTGCTTTCCGGTGAATTTGTCTAGTGAATCGGAATGAGTTTTGACACCTCAAGCTAATTATCTTTGTTATTCAGCTCTACGATTTAGACACTTAAGTGGTTTAGCAAGCTTGTTTCACTTGCTATCCCAGATTTGTATTCGCTCCTGGTTTAGGACAATTACCCATCTTTTGATTATTTATTTATCCCAGTCGTTTGAAGTATCGAGCTTCGACCCAGAATGCACTCTTTTGCTGCTTTTAACATGTACACCTTTCGCAATATGAAATTCTCTCCCATCTTAGAGCTAGAAGCTGGTTGATTAACATTTATTCACTTTTGGTTCTGAACTACACAGGTAAAAGAAATTCTGATTGAGGAATCCAATGTCCAGCCTGTTAACAGTCCTGTGACTGTCTGTGGGGATATTCATGGCCAGTTTCATGATCTAATGAAACTTTTCCAGACTGGGGGTCATGTTCCAGAGACAAATTATATATTCATGGTAATACCACCCCCAACCCTCCCCCGCACCGGGGAATCAGTTGTGTGTTATGTGATGTCATCTTCTTGGAGTTGAACACTGGCGAATCTTTTGGCAGGGTGACTTTGTGGACAGAGGTTATAATAGTCTTGAAGTTTTCACTATTCTTTTGCTTCTTAAAGCAAGGTATGCTCTTCTGGTCGCCCTATGGTGATGTTTTCTTGACCCTGTTTGTTATCCTTTCCACGTTTGTTATTCATTGTTATTATGAGAGGAAAGAGGGCAAAGTGAGTAGACAGCCATCTTTTAGCTAGGTCCCTTCCAGATGTTCTTGACTTGGCAAAGCATAATATGCCCACTCTTCGTTTTCTTAGTCGGGAAAGAAAAGAAGTTACAGAAGCCAATGGGAATGTTGACTCTTTGTTGTCTGGTATCAAGCTGGTTTTAGGTTGGAAAGACCAGGTTGTTTGAACACTAAAGGTTTATCTTGGAGGAATTTTCTGGAAGACAAGCAAGTTCATTAATTACAAATGTTGTACTTACTCTTTCCTTGATGGTGTTTGATGAGTTAAAATCTCAATGGGTTTAAACAGTCATGCAATCTTTTAAGTTTAGATTTATATGTTACAAAGATTGGTTTGGATGCTTCTCCCATTGGAGCTCAAAGTATTGCTCTGTCCTCCTTTTTACTGAATGGAGGAGGACATAACATATCAGATTCCTCTATATGCTACTGGCTGCACCTGTTCAGTTATAGTTTCTTTTCTTGTTTAGTGTTAAATGTTTACTAACCTGCCATCTCAATTTTTATGATTCTTCAAATGTTGTTTGCTTGATTGTCTGGAGGACTATATCCTTTTGCAATCTGCACGAAGTTTTTCGGTGCGAGTTTGACATGAAGTAACATAACGGACCATCATGGCTCGTCTTTTTATCACTCTTGCTTCTGTTCTTAGGTAAGCTGCTTGTATGAATCAGTTCCATAATTCTTCCATCTGTATATAGGTACCCAGCTAATATTACACTTTTGCGTGGAAACCACGAGAGCAGGCAACTAACGCAGGTAAGGTCTTCAATTCATATATGTTGCTTTTGTTGAGTTTTTTGCCATTCAGTTTATGCATAAACAACAGATATGTATAGAAATAGGGCCTAGTTCGAGCTGCCCAACAAGTGATGGAATGGGACACCTTTCAAATTCAACTTCTTTTGCTCTTTCAGAGTGGCCTTTGTAAAAATACTGTTTATTCTTTCCCATAATCTGGAAAGTTCACAATGATTCGATCTTGAAATTTTTTGTTCTTGGGTGCGAT